GAAACAATAATATGATAATACTCAATTACTCCAAAATAGGCAAAAAATGAGTGAAGCACATATAACTGGCCGGACAAATAGAGAACAAAATAGTAAGATAAGAGATTTAAAGCCAAATATATCAGCAGCTACATTAAATGTAAATGGATTAGACTCACCAATTAAAAGATGAAGTTTTATTTGTGTGTGTATGTGTGTGTGTGTACATGCATATGAATAAACCATATGCCACTTTCAAGAGACACATTAATGAAAACTTACTTTGAGAAAAAAAAATAACTGCAAAATAAATAAAAGTGGAAATGTAAACAGAGGAAGATTACTGCCCATCCAAGGGGAAGGTCAGGAAGGTCAGGGAAGAGTTACTTCATGGGCGGAGTTGGCATTTGACGGTGATAATAAATCATATCCCTCTACTTTAAATACAGAAATAAAAGAAAAATCCATACAGGAGTCAAAAAGATGGGGATCAAAATATGAGCTTTATAACTAATAGAGCTGACTTTGAAAATAGAGCTTGTCCTGCAGTCACAATTTGCCCTCTTACTTATCAAACTTTCCTTCCAAGTCTAGACCTTGGACTACCCCACCTGACAGGGAGTCTGCACAGATGACATGAATCCAGCCAGGTATAAGGAGATCCTCTTCATATCCCTAGAGCCCTTAGAGTAGGGGCTCAGAGAGTGATACCTCCAGACATCTGTCTAGAGATGGTTCTCAGCTTCAAATGCATGTTAGAGTCACCTGGGAAGCTTTAAATACTGCCAATGCCCACGACAAACACCAGACTACTGGGAAAGGATCTCCAAAGGCAGGATCCAGGTATTGTCGTTTTTCTTTAAGCTCCTCAAGTGATTCCAATGTATCTCTCAGGTTGAAAACCACCATGTAAGGCAGACCTGGGCCCCTTTTAAAGTGTGTCTACTATAAGAAAGGTGACACAGGCACAGAAGAGAGGACATACACCTTCCAAACAGCATGAACCCAAAAGAAGAAACAAAATGTCTCATCCATACACATCAGTTTTTTTCCCTAATCTCTCCAATTAGATAATGCCTTCCTTTACCCTTGGGGAGAAATAAATAGAGGAATTATTGAAAGGGTGGAATTATCATCCCAATTCTGTTTCCTTCTCAGGAATGGAGTGGAAGCATTTGCCTTTGTGGTTGATATGGCTTTCAAGTTTGAATTTAATAGACGGATAAGTTTGCACATTAAAAAAAAATTGGAGGAACAGCGATAGAGGAACATTTTGAAGCAAGGATTTTTCCCTCTCAATGATCTTTTAGTGATCTTCGAAGCAATGAAAGAATGATTTTTAACAGTCCCAAGTGGAAAGTAAATGAAATGCCTAAACTCTATGTTGGCTGAAATATGCCATCTTCTCCTAGCTCAGGACCTTTACACACACTGTTCTTATGCTGTTCCTATACTCTCTTACCCACCCCTCACCCAGTTAATAATTACTCATCCTTTAGATCTCAGGCTCTCAGCACTTTCTCTGATCCATGGACAAATTAAATTCCCCTGCCATATGCTCTCATGAGATCTAGAGCATATGTAATTATATATTTGTGATATGTCTGATTCTTCCAATAAACTATGAATTTCCAAGGACAGGAACCAGATCTGTTTTATTCTTTATTTTATTCCAGGATCCAGTCACAGTTGTTAAATATCTTTGAATAAGAGTCCAGGTCATTCATAGTCTACATAAAGCCTTAAAGTTGCAGATAAGGAAAGAATTTTTTTAAAAAAGAGGGAGAGACAGAGAAAGTGATGCCTTCATTAGAACTGGGAGTACTGGAGAGATTGAAAATGAAAATCAAATAAGGCTGCCAATCTTTGAGCAGGAATCAGTTGCCCATTTTCATCCAACACAATCAACCATAGCATAAGTATACCCACTGGTCAAGAAACTTGTATAAGACAGTATAATTCTGAAAACTAGGCCTCAAAAAATCTCTTTGACCTTCTGCACTCATCCAGAGAACATGCTGGTCCAACTGAGGGGGTAAAAAATAAAGACGACCAGAAGATTCTTCCTACTCCAATGGCCAAAGCATAATAACTAATACCTATTCCAAACAATAAACTTTCCGGGTAACAGTCTGGAGCATGACAGTAACTAACCATCAGGTTAACTATCTTATCTCAAAGGAGGAAAAAATCGTTAATGTGACATCAAATAAACACAGGGCACCAAACTCTGTGGCCAAGGTTCCCTCCAACAACTGGTCAATAGCACGGCACTGAGTTGTCTGCTTGGAAAAACTGTCTCCACCTGGGCTGCCAAAACAATAAGCCAAATATCAGGACAGAAACAAGCGCCTGAATCTTGGAAAATATTTATGAAAATGAAAAAGGTGAACAAATAAAGTTCGCAACTCACTTCCTTGTTGCCCCAAGCAAATCTGTTGCTTAAACAATAACAACAGAATCTAATCAGTAAACCCCTCAGCTGCCAAAATTATACAAGCAACTTGCCTGTTTAAAATGTCACGTTTCCCATCTGATATAAATATTCGCCTTCTGCTCCCATTCCTTAAGTGTCATACAAATCAGACACAATCTAAAATTCACCCTGGCACAACTATTTCTTTCTTCTTTCCTTTCAAATGACCCAGATTGTGCATTATGAAAATTGTGAAGCTAGGTGGTCTTTTTGGTAATTGGAATAGATCACTGAAGTCTAGGTTGCTTTTTAGCCTTGGCTTTTCACATTATTTTACACCTGGGAAGGTCCTGACTAGCTCATCCAAGTCCACTGAGACTTGGTTCAGCCTCAGTAAGCTTTTATACACACAAATGCAAAACTACCTGTTATCTCATTTCCAGAAAAATCATACTAGTGAGACATTTCTTTGCAATTTTTTAAACAACAGAAACAGATCTGGTAAAAAAAAAAAAAAAAACTTAAAAGATGGTTAAAGAGGGACTTCCCTGGTGGTACAGTGGTTGAGAATTCATCTGCCAACGCAGAGGACACAGGTTTGATCCCTGGTCAGGGAAGATCGCACATGCTGCAGAGCAACTAAGCCTGTGTGCCACAACTACTGACCCTTGCGCTCTAGAGCCCATGAGCCGCAACTACTGAGCCTGCACTCTAGAGCCCATGAGTCACAACTACTGAGCCTGCACTCTAGAGCCCATGAGCTACAACTACTGAGCCTGCCCGCTGCAACTACTGAAGCCTGTGCACTCTCGGGCCTGGGTGCCACAACTACTGAGCCTGCGTGCTGCAACTACTGGAGCCTGCACACCTAGAGCCCATGCTGCACAACAAGGGAAGCCACCGCAATGAGAAGCACATGCACCACAGCGAAGAGTAGCCCCCCGTGCACCTCAACTAGAGAAAGACCCAACGCAGCCAAAAAAAAAAAAAAGTTTAAAGAAAACAATGTGAAAATAATGGAAAAGGTAAGAAGACTAATTTAAAATATTGATACAACCAAAATCAAATTCGCTGGCTATGCAGGATTATGTCAGTATACAGACCTTCTCATTACTGGCAGAAAGCAAGAAGTTTAAACCATCACAAAAATGTTCAACCTGTGCACTTCTGTGCCCTCCTATGAAATTAATTTTATGTTGCAAAGGTATACGTGCAGACTCCAAGTATCACCCACAGATGAACCATATCAGAATCCCCTGGGGTAGTGGTTAAAGATGCAGATCACTAGATGCCACAAAAGACCTTCTGAATTAGACTCTTTCTTAGGAACAGGACCCAGGAATCTGTTCCCTTTCCCCAAATCACCCAAAACCCAGAAAGAGTGGGCTTGCTCCACAAATTTGGCTTCCTCATAAATCCTCAGCAATCCCTTCTAATCCAATCAGAGCCTCTAAACTGCTCTAATAAAGAAATTCAGAGCTGCCTAAGGCATTAAAGTTAAGAGAACCTCTGTGATTCTGTTAGATCTCTGATCTCCCTTGAACCAAGCAAGTACGGAAAAAAATGTGCGAAGTCTACTGGTTAATAGAGTGCTTGAGTAACAGTGCCTTCAACAAAGTAGTGTGATGTTTGGAAGCAGTATAAAAATGTTAATTGCTTCCAATTACCAAAGCCTCTCAAATTCAGGCAGAGAAGCCAAAGCAGAGGCTTATACGGTCAGTTCACAGACAGTGGCCATCCCCCAAGCAACTACACCCTGCACTTTAACTCCTGTGTGATTATAAAGAAGCCCCCTTCCCCAACAATAATGACCATAGTCGCTGTTTATGACCACCTAAGGACTGTAAACACAATCAAACACCAACAACCAAAACCCCATGGAAACTGCCCCTTCCCTAACATTCAACTAATTTTGAGATATTCTTACACATTAAATTAGGAATGAGAGTTTTCAAAACAAGTAACTCAAATTTTGAACATATTTCAAAGCCCCTTTGAGCAACAAAGGATACCTAGTCTTACACAGAAACGTTAACCAAGAAAGGAAAAGGCCTCATCTACATAAACCTCAGAGAAAGCCCCAGAAAAAACATTCACACTATATCTTTAGTTTTAATTGTTTGGTTTACATATTAATAAATATTTATAAAAGCAAAGATTTTGATTTTATTTTTTTGTTTATTTTATGATCAATTCTCATAATTTTTATGATTTTTATGATCAACTGATATTTTAAGTAGCACTCAAAAATAATCTCAATTTACAACATGGTGCTTCTAAGAAATAAGGGTTTGACTTAAATGACTCTGAGACAATTATCCAAAAATCAATCACATGGTAAATGGGGGTGGGGGGTGGGAGGAAGAACACCTTTCCTTCATTTAAGACCAAAGACATTACAACCTTCAACAAGTTTTGTATGACCTTTCAGCTGAAATCTTTATTATCAAAAAAGAGACTGCAGGACTCCAGTTTTTCCTATCTCAGGGAAAGCAGAGGTAAGGATTGCCCCCCAAAAAAAGAAAGAAAGAAAAGAAAAGCTGTCTAAAGTCTTATTTGTAGAGAAAAAGGTCAAGCAGTGGTAGAAAGGAAACAGAAAGCATACTCTTACTCATTTGGGGCTTAATCTCTTCATCCAAGTCCAAATCTTCTAAATCAAGGAAGTTGTCTACCTAGAAAAGGATTAACATCATCTTTATGCAAATTAGACCTAGAGAAAAATATGCAATTAAGAATCAGTGAATCCACTTCCACAACACTCAAGTGAGCAAATGAATCTCCTTTTCTCATTAACTTTTGAGTCCCAGATAGAGATCTTTGTGTTCACTGTGCTTTCCCAGAGACATCTGAAAGAAGCACTAAATCTGGAAGTTGGCCGGGATTTCACAGGCACCACAGTAAGATCTCTATACTGAAAGGGAAAAAACAGTCTGGGAAGTTTTTGAAAAGTTTTTGTTCCTGATTCTATCCCAGAATATATACCACCATCAAGACAGTCTGAAACAATGTTTCTATTTTTTGGTTTTCTTTTATTGCTTTTGCTCCTCAAGCAAATGATGGTGGTGGGTCTGGCTATTCTCACAACAGTGTGCTTTAAACTCCAAAGAGAGAGTAGAAACTAAAGAAAGCAGGGGAGAAGGTTCATTCAAGACAAAATCATCCTGCCCCAGGTCATCACAAGAGAGGTGAACAGAGCAAAAAATCAAGTGTTCTCTCTTTTGAGCAAATAAAACTGAAAATTACTTCAAAGGTAAAAAGCAGAGCAAATGACCTTTACAGACAGTAGCAGCATTTCAATGTTGCTTTCCACTGCAAGCTGACAATGAGACATTTTAGATTAACAAAATGGTAGCACTTCAGACATGAACGGATTCATCTCAGGTGAATATCAAAGAGTGTGAATAAACAAATGATTTCACCACTGGCACCCGAAGGCAGATCTAGTAAAGGCATGATGTCAAAATGCCTTTTATGCTTATGACCTAAAACATGTACATAACAAAATACCATAAAATTATAAATTTAGATCTCATCATTGGAATTCAAAACACAGCCTGGGTCTTTCTTCCCCACTCTCTACCTGCCAGACCATGGCTTGGAGCTTCCATACTTGGAAGTACATAACTACAGTTATTTTTTGACTTCCAAGGGACAGCAAAAATTTATCTTCCATATGATGGTTTCAGTACTAAAATTTGAGAATCTGTTATATTGTCAGGACGAGAGTCACGTTTCTCTATTGAAGCACCCCTTCCATTTGTAAAGCTTTGAGGAAAAAAGATCCAGAACCCAGGCCACCAAGGACAGTTTAAGATAATCAAACACCACTTTTTTTTTTTAAAGCATATAGACAAAATCTGCTGAATTCTCCAAATTTGTATGACAGACAGCAAATGAGTCCTGTGAGGTTTTTATGCTCTTTCTGGGTTTTGGCCATGGAATAAAATTGAATCATGCCTTACCTTCACCTTTCCTGCCCGATTCAGATCACCCTGAAAGGAACTGCCAACTTTTTGGCCTTCATCCATCACTATCTGGAAAAACAAACAAACAAACAAACAACATTGAGGACATATTGATGGGAAGATGAAACAAGTGAAAATAAAGGAGCTGATGTTGTAGCCCTTCAGGCACTAAAATTCCCTTTCCGCTTTCTGTTAATTAGCTATGCGTGACAAACCATGACACCTTAGTGACAGCAGATTCACTAAGTCATAGCAGCCATCAGGGAATAGGTTCCAGGAGGTCTGACTTCTACTTCTGTCTTCTAGACTCATCTACAGTGTAACCTAGGGTAAATTATTTAACCCCAATTTTTTCATGTGTAAAATATGAACACTCCGCACCTCATTACCCCAGCCCCCGTCCCATCCCACCCCAATGAGCCGCTGAAGGACAAATCAGAGAATGCTAATACAACATTTTCAAGTTACTAGGAAAAAATACCATGGAACAATTCTTTGCCTCTCACACACTGGCTAAAGACTCAATAGAAAATGTAATTCCAATTGCCAATGATGGCCAGTAGACAGTGAATCCTCTAGAAAGAAAAGTTCTTGTCCCATAATCACCTCACTGGAAATAAGTTATAGAATTAAAGAATTATAGCCCTTCGCTGTATATAAACACACTTCTAACATGGAGATTTTTCTCCCTTGCATAAAACCATAATCTCATATACAATTCTGTCCACAATATCACAGGGAATACACGATGAGATAGAAAGTAGAAACTCAAATGGCTTAAAAAATAGAACAGCTTCCACTAGGATTCCTCGATAGTTAAAAACCATAGCTAAAGAGAATGTGAATACAGTCTATGAAGTCTTGAAGATTAGGAAGAGAGCATCTAACATTTATTTATTGACCAAATCTTGGAAGAACCAAGATAACATATTCTACTTTAAGTCTGAAGGACATGAATCCAGGACAGGTAAAAGAAACTCTCATTTACACAGAGAATTACAAAAAGGAACTCTTTTGTCCCAGAGGACAAGCTAAAATATAGACATAATTTCAAGAAAAATCTGTAGATGGCAGATCCTTAAGAGGTTTTTAACAAAAATTGGGGATAATTAAGTTACTATCATAAAAGTTGGCTGTTGAAATCATGAAATGTAATGATGATTTTCAGTAAAGTATCCCAAAGGCACTCCTTCTAAAATTAGGAATCTGAGTTACTGATCCAATAGTTGTCCGATGTTTCTTATTATGGTCTCTTTCTTTTTTTTTAATTCATGAAAAAATTTTTTTTCTCTGTTTCTGTAAATGTGCTATGGTATTACCTGTTCCTCTTCTGAACACTGTGACGAAGTACGAAGAAAGATGGCTTTATTGCTAAGATGGTGATCATTTGGTTCATTTCTCTGAGTAAATTTTACTGAAGGAAAATTGTTTTCTGAAGAATTGGTTCCAAAGGCTCCTCTTTTGGTCACATTATCTGAAGTGATAAATTACATAATATTAGAAAACACCCACCACATCCAGTCTAGTTTATTTTGTGTTTATTGAGAATCTTTCTTCCAAACAAACAAAAAAAATACTTTTCAAAAAAATCTACAAACTGAATGCTTGAAGCATTAAACACTCTTAACCTATAAAGTTATTTCTAAAAATGCATAGAAAGATAACACTATTTCATTCACTATTCAACAAACATTTATAAGTTTGTATCCAGCACTGTTCTCAGCCATTGTTAAGAGGTCAATAAAGTATTTGCAAGACTCTTGGACATTACCGATCTCATTTTTTTTCTAAATTTGAGGTTTTTTTAAAAAAATATGGAGGCAATGTATGGATGATTTTAGAAAATTTGTAAAAGAAAAAGAGTAAAATTAGAATATCACTCATAATCCTACAAGACAGAAAAGCTGCAACAAAATTTTTTCAGTGGCTATTTTTCTCATCTTTTATCTATTCACCCATAAACTTCTAAAAGTCAAATGGAATTGTACTGTACATACCATATTATAAGTCAACTTGAGAGCAATATTTTTTTCATAGTATTGCATATTCTGCATAATTTTAATGATTATAGAGAATTCCACCGTATATATTTAACATAGTTTATTTAACCAATTCCTATTCTCAACTATTTAAAACTATAAACAATGAATACGTTTGTGTTAAATCTTTGCACATTCATGATTATGTCCTTAGGATAAGGAAAGAGTCTAAGATTCATCCTAAATTAAGAGAAAATTATAACATGATGCCATTAACAGAAATGTGGGGGACAAATTCAGATGAGAGAGAATGAATTAACTTTTGTCCATGCTGCACTTGAGGTGCCAGTGGAAACTGTGAGGGAAATGTCCCAGAGGCAGCTGCAAATGTAGGCTAAAATGTGGGAGAGAGATCACAGCAATAGGTAAAGAGCTGGTAGTCGATTACACTGGGGCAGTGGTTTAAGCCATAAAATTATTTTTAATATTAGCAGCAATATTAAAATAAATAAGAGTTAACATTTACTTGAGGGTCAGACTGTCTTTTATTATGCATCTCATAAATCTCATTTAAGCCTCACAACAAGCCTCACAACAAGCCTCACAACAAGCCTAGGTACTGTTAGTATCCCCATTTTACAGGTGAAGAAACCAAGGCCTACAGAGAGATTAAATAATTTGTTCAAAGTTACACAGCTGGTAAGTAGCAGAGTGGGGATGTGAACCCAGGCCTTCCTAATCCAGCACTCACTGCTGTGCAACTTAGAATAGTACAGTAAATGAAGGGAAAGGGTTCTTAGAGCATAGAAGAATAAAGCAGAAAAAAAAAAGAAATTTTAAAAAGCCCAGAAAGGAGACAAAGAAGAAAAGTTTACAACAGTACCAGAACCCAGGGAGCATGGCACATACTAAAACTAGAACTCCCTTGCTGCAAATGACAATAGCAAAACACAGGAATCTACTTCAAGGATCACCAGAAGAGTGACTAAGGGATTCAAAAGAGGCCAAGTGGCAGAAATCAAGCTACCGTCAGATTAGGGCACCCTGTTCCATCCCCTTACAATACTCCACCATGGAAAGATTCTGGAGACATGGGTTTATTTGTGAACAACCTGGTCAGGTATCTAACTGAAGGGGTTACAAAACAGCCTAACCCACCAAAGTGGCATGTTTCTCTTGAGCCACTGGTTGCATGGCTTCAAAATCAGTAAAGATTCTTGTTGTTCTAATGATCTCGGCCTGGTGCAAGGCAGCCAGAATCCTGTGTTTGCTTCTGAATACCTCATCATTGGTAGAATTAAGGCTTGTAGGGGGACTTCCCTGGTGGCACAGTGGCTAAGAATCCGCCTGCCAAAGCAGGAGGCACGGGTTCAGGCCCTGGTCCAGGAAGATCCCACACGCTGCACAGCACCTAAGCCCGTGTGCCACATCTACTGAGCCTGCGCCCTAGAGCCTGCGAACCACAACTCCTGAAGCTCACGCGCCTAGAGCCTGTGCCCCGCGACAAGAGAAGCCACTGCAGTGAGAAGCCTGCACGCCGCAACTAGAGAAAGCCTGCGCGCAGCAACGAAGACCCAACGCAGACAAATAAATAAACAAATAAATGTATTTAAAAAAAAAAAGACTTGTAGGGATATCTATAGGACATTAACACAGAAATACTGTTGGGGAGAAGAGATAAGGTAGCCTAGCCTATAATACAGCATTAGCTCAGTAAGCCAGAGAGGGAAAACACAAATATTTAAATGTACCGCTTTTTCTTTCAAAGGGATTTATTAGCAAACACCACCAGCTCAGGCCAGCTCTCTCTACTGCCTCCTGCACCAGCACCCACGACTCCTAATTAGCTACTACAGGGACGGGTGACCCCTTCCTTGTGCCCCAACAAATCCCTGCAAACTCTGATATGAAGCACTCGCCTTGGCTGCTGGGGGTGGAGGGGCTGAGGGGCTGATTAAGGAAGGTGATGGGAGGGTTACAGGAACACTGCTGGAGTAACCAGCACGATGCCAGGCCACAGAAGTGAGGACAAAATGGTCTTAGGTTTACCCTCCCTGACTTCTTCCTCTTTTACAGCCACAATTATGGCTGTAAAATCATCAGTCCTAGGGCAGAGACAAGCAGTGGCAGCAGCGTGGAGCAAGACAGGCATGGAGATGCTTGGAAACAGGAGTGAGGAGGAATGAAAGGGTCCTTCAAACTTCATCAAAGTTAGAGGCACCCAGTGGCTCCCTGCCATTCCTCAGTGCCCTGTTCTAATAAGACGCGGAATAGTTTCAGTTCTCCTTGCTCATCCTTTAAGTTTAGCACAACCTAAACCTAGTATTTCCTGAGAAAATGCCGTGTACTCAGCACAACACTACTGTAATAATCTATTGCTTTACATACTTGAAAACCACAGTGATGTCTGGGAAGAACAGATGTTCCGTAAGGACAAGTTCTGTTTGTTCTTATCATCACTCAGTGTGCTCCTCTGCCATTTCCAATAAAACACCAGGTTATTTGACAAATAACCAGATGAAACTCCTTCAAAATAAAGAGCAAAATGTAATGAAGTCCCAGCTTCTGATGCTGATGTGGAGCGACGGTTGAGGTCTCAGATCTAACACAACATCTTGTTTACTCTTTCAAAACTTCGTCCTTTCATAAACATAAAGCTTTCATTTTTAAAATATGGAAAGATTCAGAAAAGAACTTGTTCCCTCTCTGACTGAACCTACAGTTTAAGACTCCTTTCTAAACCTTGAAAGCAGTTTCACAAGAGAAAGTACTATTTCACTCCAAAGGCCCCAAAGTGCTTCTTACAAATGCTTTTATCATTTTTTAAAAAAACAGCAAAAAAAAAAAAAATCTCTTGGCAGCAGAAGATAGGAAAGAAGTTCTTTTTCAATATGATAATGACAAAATGGCAGATGTTGGCACAGCCCAGAATCCGAAGTGGCCTAAAGCCTGATTAGAGTGCCAGATGCTGCTTCCCAGAGTTATCCTGGTGGCCATCCAAACATGCCACCCAAGTGTGCGTTTCATCTTCTTCTGTTTCTGCTTCTCATCAGAGTCCTTTTCTACCTCTTCATCTTATCCCTAATGTTCCTTGCTTTGAAATAAGTGCCAGACATAACACACTTTGGAAATCTAACAGCAATATTTCAGAGAACAAGTCGGTTACTGAGACCTGAAAGAGTGTTTCTTCGGGCATTTCTGAGTCAAAACTTCAATACACATGAAACAAAGGTTTTTTGCTAAAGGTTTCATTATTCTGAAGCAATGGAATTTCAATTTTCTTTTGATACCAAACAGACAAGCTTCCAACAGATCTCCCTTACAAGGTCACCAACTACACCTACAATGTCTAATTTCAGGCCAAAGAAAAAGGTTACACTCCTGCAAAAGGTTGAAACTATGGACGCCTCGATAAATTAAACACCAATCGTAAATTGCTTGTACATCTTCCAGATGAAAGCAGTCAGTTTCAGAGAACTCGGTTTTGAAAGAAACTTTTTAAAAATTCAAATTCATCCATTCAAAGGCCAGACTAGTGTCCATGAGCTTAGAAGAAAGTTTACACTTTACAGGAAAGTTCTCACAGATCAACACAACCAACATCAGAATTCACGACCTAATTCTCCCAGCAACACCTGAGTGTCTGTTCTTCTGCACCATGGTCAACAGAAATACAAATCAAGAGCATGTTCTCAGTTGTGAAGAGATACTGAATATGTTGTTAAGTAGGAAAGAAAAATTCATGGGGGGGAAATTCTGTGCAACGCTGGGTAGTTGCCAAAAACCTCCTGCCCAGAGCATAGGGGATAAGCAATCATGCTTATAACAAGACTGGGTCCTTTGAAAGTCAGGGGGGTGATTTTCATATCATACTCCTAGCCTAAAGCAATGTTGCTCTGGACAAAATTTGCTCTTCATTTGCCCAGCCAAACTACTTCACTCCACTGCTTCTTGATCACATACTCCTTGGTATATGGCCTCCCCTGGAGCGACAGTCCTTAGGATTAAATAAGCAATTTAAAAACCAATCAATCATAAATCAGAATAAGTCCAAAGAAGCTAAATTCAGCAGACAAATGTTTTGTCTAAATTCCCTTTGCAGTGGTCTGAATTCCAACTGTTTTATGTTCTTCACTGGAAAGGGCACAGGGAGGAGAGGATTACCTTAGCCTGGCCAGTCAGGAATAATTGTACTTTCCCCGAGGCTGGATGATAATTGACTCATTATTCATAGACATAGCTCTCCAGCTGCCAAGACACAAATGCACAACCCTAGCTCAGAAAAAGAAAAAAAAGTGTGTCAAAAGTCTAAGATGAGGCACACAATAGCAGTAAGTTGACATTTTGAAATGTCCAGTGTTAGGCACGTAACAGAGAGAAAAAAAGAAGTGAGGATAGTGTAAAGTTGCTGTAAGTTTATTTTCAGGGAGAAAAGCTGAGTGGTGGTTGAGTTATGCAACTTATTCAACCCACAGGTTGTATCATGGGCATCAAC